AGATGACTCTCAAAGAAGATTTTCTTTTCTCTTTTAAAGTGGCTGCTTCCTAGATGACAGAAATCCATACTGGCATCTCCCAGCAGGGATTTGAAACATTGTCCACATCCTTCTAGACTTCTCAGCTGAAGGTCCCTGTGCCCATGGCAGTGCCATCCCAGCTGCTGTCTGCTTTCCTCACTTTTAGGTGATTCTGCCATGTGTGATTCAGGCCAGAGTATGTGCATACACACACATACCTGCTCCAGCTCACCATGCTCCTTGGCTGCATGGTAGGGCCTATTGGGACACCTTCAGAGATGAAGCCTGTTATTGACAGAAATGTTATGGGCTGTTGGGGTACAGGAGAGATTTCTCCCACCCCTCTGGGTGCTTGTGAGAATGAATGAACAAATTAGCATCAGACAGATTAGCAGGAGAAAAACACCAAATGCAATAACATAATATAGGAGCATTTACAAGGCTATACGTTCTAAAATAAATGGGGCAAACTGGGTGTTTATCTCTTTTACTAAGGGATTTGGTACATCAAGGAGAGAAGAGAGGTTCCACATGACAAGGAGGGGATGGCTTCATATGACAAAACCTTGCCTCTATATGTTTGCCTTGCCTTTCTCCCCACTGAAAGGTTGTTTCTGGATATGACCCTAGCTCTTGTTAATCTTCATCCTTTAAGAAATGGTAATAGTTTCTCCAAGGTCCAAGAGGACATGTATTGGAAAGGGTCTACTCTGTACATCTTGGAAAAATGTCTACTTGACTCTTTTGGGGAAGACTGATTCTACATGGTGAAAACAGTATTTGGTATCAAGCAGTTGCTTGACACTCTGACAGTTTGGAGGGAACTCCCATTACTACATGAGTAGAATTACCTTTTGAGTGTGACTGAAATGTGCCAGAAAAACCCCAGAGATGGGCTAAGGGAACCATCTACCTGGCAACGTTCAAAGGTCCCATTCTTGCTGGAGCCCTTCCTCAGTTCCTCCTGCAGCTATTTGTCTTCTAAATTGTCCATGTCAAAACGTCTGAGAGCACCTTGTGCTCTTGGCTCATCAAAGCAAAACTTGTCCTTCTCATCCATGGTAGGTAGTAAAGAGGAGGCTGGGACTTGAATGGATTCTTGCTCTGTCTTCTTCACCCTCTGCCCTTCAGGGTATATCTTGAGTCTTTAACAAGCAGTGACTCAGAAAGTCACTATGGTATAAGGTTATTTACCCTTTCATTTAACCCCCCTTAATTGACAGAAATGTTATGGGCTGTTGGGGTGCAGGAGAGAATTCCCCCACCCCTCTGGGCGCTTGTGAGACTGAATGAACAAATTACGAGTGGCATTGCTGAGGATACAGCAAGGAGCCAGGCCTTATTTTTGCTCTTAGGGAGTTCATCCACTAGTGCAAATACCAACAATAACACAGTGAAATAAGGTACAATAGGGGTGAACCCAGGACCCTATAGGAACTGATAAGGGGGCAGGGAGATGGTCTAGAAGAACTGATGTCTTATCTACAACCTAAAGGATGAGAGGGAATTAGCTGGACACTGTTGAACAAAGGGTGATGGAATAGGTATTCGAATATAACTGCTTCATAGATGAGAGTTGATGGCAATGGGGTGCTGCGCACATGCAAGGGATCAATAAATGATAAGTAGATAGATGAGAGAGGGAGAGAGAGAAAAAGAGGAAAAAGCACAAACACAGGAAACATAGAGATAGAGAGATGGAGAGACAAGAGTCAGCTGGCAGAGATAAAAGACTGAAAGGCCAAGAGATGACCACAGAGGACCACAGATTTGTTAGATCCATAATGAACCCCAGAAAACATTCCTAAGCCCCTTGTTATATAGATAAACTGAGATGGATAAAGAGAGGCATTTGCCAAAGTCACAAAGATGTTAGTTGGAATTTTGAGTCAGGATCCTAGATCTCCTGGCTTCTAGTAGGTTTGAGACAAAAGAGATACAAGAGATAGATGGGGGAGAGGAAGTGGAGCCGGCGGGAGGGCTAGGGGAAGGGGGGAAGTGAGATTTGCTGGCTTCACAATGTCAGGATTGCCCAGTGGGATGACAGCAGGAAAGTTTCCGTGAAGCCTGAGCTGGGTTTCTTTCTTTCTTTCCTCTTTATCTTTTCCTCTTCCTCTCCCTCTCTTTTCCCTTCCAACCACATCCTGCCTACAAGAAGATGTCAGGGAACTGGTTGCCATGGCTACTACTGGCATTCAAGCAGGCTGAATTATTAAACCAGGGTCTTTTCTTTGAAGCCAGGGCCCCAGTGCGAAGTGCCCCTTTAGGGGGTGCAGTGTAGGACACAGGTCTGGGCCAGGATGCTTGCTGGCTGGTTTGGCTCAAGAGGGGAGAGTGTGTCTGGAGAATGAAGTCTGTTTCCCTGTTTCGCCAACTGAGTACAGTAGAGGCCAGGGGAGCAGGAGAATCTGCTGGGGCAAAAGTTGGGAGGCAGGGAGGCCCCCTGTGCTGAGCTGACTCCCTGCATTAGAGTCTTCTCCTACCCCTTCTGCCTGGAGCAAAAGGGCTGGGCACCAGCCACAATTTCATTCAAATGGGACAAGAACCAAAACCAATGTTTTTGTTGTGTCTAAAAGGACACCATATTGTTCAAATTAGTTGTAACTTGTAGCCAGAGGCAAGAAATAAGTGGTATTGTACTTGGGTACCACTTTTTGTATAGGTAAGGTGACTCTCCTGGAACCATCCCATCCTGCTGGTGGACATGACCCTCTCCCAGTTGTATGCATGAGGCATCATGAAGAGTCTTGTTTGTGGGCACAATTGTTGTTTGTTTTGATGATGGAGGGGGCTGAGTATGGATGCTCTTCTCTTAAGGAGATTCCAAGCCAGCAAAACCATCAGCCTTCTGGTGTCCTACCTCTTTAAACATTTTCATTAGAAACCCAAACAATGGGGCCTCCCTGGTGGCGCAGCTGTTGAGCGCTGGCTTGTGAGGCTGCCCACAGCCTCTGCAGCGCTGGTTTGATCCCTGGCTGCTCCCCGGCCACCGGAGGAGGGTCCCGCTCAGCAGTGTGTTTCGTCATCTGCCTGTTCTGCTCCCCGCTCTGACTCTGGTGAATTCTCTCACCCTACCACGCTTCTGACTGTACCCAGTGCTTGTATAAATAAATAAATAAATAAATAAATAAATAAATAAATAAATAAATCTTTAAAAAAAACAAAAACAAAAAACCCAAACAATGAATGTAGTGTGAATGCCCCTGTTTATGGGCTCATGGAAGAGCACCTACTAGGTGGCTGGAACCACACTGTGGTTGGTAACTACCCTGAGTCCCACTGTACATACAGTGGGATGGGTTGGGATGGGGGACATGAGGAGTCCAGTTTGGGGTGAATGGAGACATTCTCTTTCCCTTTGTGCTTCAGTAGTTTCTGAGACTAATTTCTTTGGAGAAGGAATCTCTCCCTCTTCCTCCACACCTGGTGTTTCTTCTCCCTGAGAGGAGGGTTACTGATCCCTCATGTTGGGATCTCCCTTTTGCAGTCCCAAGATCCCCTCCACAAGAGAGGCGCCGGCTGCATTCTGACGCTTGCACTGAAAAAAAAAGGAATTCTTAATAAGGGAGAAACCAGATCTACAAGACTGTTTCCAAAAATCTGTCAGCCTGTGAAAAACCGATGGGCAGCCCGGATTTTTTCCCCCTCAAGCCCAGCTGCAGCAGTTTTTAATGTCAGGGCCAAAGGCCTGGCTTTCCAAAAGTCTAAATCATAAAAACCAGACTCACCTCTTTTCAGGGTTGGTGATTAAATTCCTGGGTCCTTATAGAGTGAACCCCATCTAGACCTTTTATGGGTGAAGTAGGGACTAGCCAAGGAGACTTCAGAGTCCTTGGCCTTGACTTCCTTTCCCACCCGGAATTAAGAGTTGTTGACCTCTTGGCTATTTAGTTCCCTCCAATGCATGTTTTCTGGGTGGGTGGAGAGTGCAGGGTGCAAGGTTAACCAAATAGAATCCCTTTCCCATATGGGGAACTCCCCACTAAATAAGAAAAGGTTGCTGGCCCTCATTCAGCTCCGGCAATCCTCGAAGGAAGCTCCAGAACACTTGCCTCATCTGTCAGCAACAGAGAAGTCTCCCATCCCCTCCCTCCTTCCCCTACCTTTTCTTTCTGTATCTCTTTTTGTCCATTTCAATCCTGCTGCCCCCTCCACTCTGTTTCTCTGGGGCCATTCTGTAGTCTGATTCTGAGCTTTTGGTGGGGGCTGGGCAGCAGGTACAGTCACTTGGCAAAGCCCCTTTGGAGACCTACTTGGACAGGAGAGATGGCTGGTGGGACCCAAGCTGGAGGCATTGCTGCTATTCTTGAGGGAAGAATGTGCCATGAGTCAGAGAAATGCAGGGAGAGGGAAACCCCTGAAAGGTTCAGGCCTTCTGGATGCCAGTTAGACTCAGTTTTCAGCGTGGTTTATCTTTTGCACTCTTCAACTGCTCCCTAGGAAACCAGGTCTCCCCTAGAGACCTCAGTTGGCCCCTGGTCACCCCCAGACACCTCTGGGGACCTCTGCTAGGGGCCCCCTGTTCTTGAGAAGTATCTGGTTCAGGCACTGGGCTCCCTGCTTCTCCCTTAACTTGATCCTTAAAGCCCCCAATTCTCCTGGCCCGTTTTTTCTTGACAGGTAATCAGACACTTCCATCTCTGTCCTCCCTGCCCAGGAAGGCAGAAGCTGGCACCAGGAGCTGGGGGTCCAGTCTGTGCCGCCCATAAATGGAGACCCGGGCCCTTGAGAGGAAATCGCCTCTGGAAGTTTGAGGTCACTGAACTTTCCCACGGAAATTCAGAACTAAATTTCTCGCCCGTGGGCTGTTCGCAACAGAGCCTGCGGGCGCAGCACGGTCTACCCTTCCAGCGACTGCCCCCTCCAGTCCTCCAGGCCCCGGGCGCGCGCTCCCGCGAGCGTTCCGCTCCGCACCCTCCCGCCCGCTCCGCGCACCCGAGCTGCCCGTGCCTGGACAGCGATTTCCTCCTTGGTGTAGATGCAGCTGCAGCCTTCCATCTCCTTTGTTATCCCCCAGGCAGGCCCCTCTGGGGGGCATGTGTGCGAGTTCTCTTTCCGATTGTCAGAAATTTCTTTTCCACTGTGTGGGCAAGAGACAGCATATTGAAAAAACTGTCTCCCTTCTCTTTATTTTATTTTCCGTTTCTCTCCCTGCCCTCCTCCTGCCTTCCTACCTACCCCCCTTCTTTCTTTTGATTGCTCCTTCTTCCCCTTCAATTTCACCCTCTCTCCTCCCCAGCCCTCCCTTGTTCCCCTTCCCCCATCCTTTTGCTCTTTTAAAAGAATTCAATGATGTCTCAGGAATACTAGCACACTCTCCTCATTCAGCTGAGCGCGGGACTCTGCGTTAATTCAAGGTAAGCCCCAGGGTCTTGCTGCCACCGAGGAAATGGTTGTCGGCTCCCTGGCGCCGGCTGCTCAGCCCTTCCCGGCGGTGGGTGCCGAGTCCTGGTCCTTAGCGCGGCTACCTGTTGGGGGATGCATGGACAGCGGAGAGCCCTAGTTTGCTCAAACCTCCGAATCTTCTAAGCTAGTTCTTCCTCTCCAGGCGCTGCCCTTCCCTTAGCAACTTCCGTGGCAATTTCCTGGGCGTGGGAAAGCCCCCGAGCCATTTAGCGTTTGGGGTGTGAGTGTTGTGCCCCTGGCCAGGGCTCCGGAGCTGGCATCTCGCTGGTGATTTGCGCGGTGCTCAGCCTGCGGCGAGGGAGGGAGGCTCTCGCGTGCCTTCTGCCCAGGGAGTGCAGCCTGGCTCAGAGCTGGGGCTGCCTGGGGTCCGCAGGAGTCTGGGGTCCCCCTGCTGCCCTTGTATGACTTCAGGCTTGGCCAGTTCTGACCCCCGGGAGTTGTGTGGTGGGAACCATTCAGGGAGGGTTCCCTGAGCAGGGACTGAGCTTCCAGCTAAGTTTCTGTGAATGAAGCTGCCTGACCCTTGGACTTATCCAGGAGAGGAGAGGTGTAGGCTGGATGTCTCTGGAGCGCCGGGTCAGGTCAGGAGGCACAGAGAGTGGACCCTATTCTGGAGGATGACTGGAAATAGAGGTTCAGAGGAGGTCACAGCAGAATCTGGGCTACTTAGAGGGATTTGCCTTTTTATTGAATTTGAGGCTCCCTGCACCAGCGTGGTTGCATGTCCTTTTCTACGAATGAAAAGAGAACCCCTTTTTCTGTGCCTCTGCTTTGTGCCAGTGACCCAGAAAGAATGATGGGAGGTATCATGCCCCTCCACGCTCCTCTGACTTCCGCCTCACTCTGGGGACTAAGGTATCAGTTTAGTGACTCGCCCAAGGAGGGATCCTCCCTCTGGCCAGGCTGTGACTTGGTGCCTGCAGAGCAGGTGGTTCAGGCTGCGTGGGTGGCTAAGTGAGTGACTGAGATCTGGGGGCTTGTAATGATCCACAAGCTCTTGGCTTTGGAAGCTATGGTGTCAGAACAGTGATTCTTACTTACACTTGGGGGTCCAGTACTGAACCTCCTCACAGAGCACGCTCACAGGAAAGGCAGGAGGGGCCTTGACTGTGAAACCTGAACCCAGAGAAATGGTTTCACAAATGGAAAGAATTTTTCTGAGGCTTAAATAAGAGCATGGCGTTGTCCCCACTGATATCGAACTAGGGGGGAACAGGGCTTTCTTTACTGGGGCTGGGAATTTGGGTAGACACCAAGGGAAACTTCTGGTTGACAGTTCCAAAAAGAATTAATAATGAAAAACGTAGACCTTTCTCTCCACTACTGTGTGAGTCTTGTGGATGGTGCAACACCTCTAAAGCCTAGAAGGTGACTCTTTTTATGTGCAGTTCCATGCTACGGCTCTTTCACACACTAAGTCTCTGGAGAGCTAAAATGTTTGTAACATCAGGTATAGTATCCTGTCATTTATTGTCCCCGCAGGGGCACTTGGTAGAAAATTGGTAGGAGTGACACAAGGACAATAGAGTTGTTCCAGATAGATCAGGAGGGATGATTGCCCTCAGAGTGACTGTATTGTCCAAGGGGACAGTGAGACAAGGTAGGATGTGTTCATGTCACTTGAATCTTGCATATATCTTCATGACCTGGTTCTTTCTGACTCATATCACAAATGGACTTTATTTCCATTCCACTCTGAGAATCCAGCTCTGAATGCAGACCCCTTTCCTTGGACCACCTCTTCTTTCCTCAACTCTACCCATCCCTCCAAAAATCCTGTTCCTGGAGTGGAACTTCATGCTTAGACTGCAGGGGTTACAAATACAGGGTGACCTGCATGGAGTGAGTGTTTCTAGCCTTGTCTGCTTTCTTAGGGGACTTCTGAGTCCGGGGCTCCCAGGAAGCTGTCCTTCTGCAGGAATTGTGAATGTTGTGTGACAGCAGCATGGCTTCCAGTGACCGTCACAGTCACAGTGTTGCTCCTATTAGATGGTTGCTCCCCTGAGACTGGGGAGAGTGCATCTGGGTTTTATACTGAGAAACTCATATCCAAGAAGCATCAGATGCAGGGAAATGCCTGCCTGACTTCTTCACATGTGTGGGGGAGTGGTGGGAATTCTTAGGGGATGTGTCAGTCACACCTCCGTCCCCCCTGGGAGCCCATGGGTTTGCCAGACAGCCAAGTCCCTGCTGGGCTTCAAAAAGTTTAGCTATTTTGTAGTGAACACTTATTGTTTACAAACTGTATCATCATGAATCCTTCTCTAACCCTATTAAGTACTATCTTCATTTTATAGGTGAGGAGACTGACGTTCAGAAAAGTAATTTGCTCAAGTCAATGTAGATCATAAGGGACAGCGTTGGCATTCAAACCCAAGGCTGGCACCCCCTCCATGAAATGGTGCTTCTTAGTGCTGAAGTTTAATTGGTCCATGTTTGACTCACTTGTTTAGGGTCTTGGGGGTGACGAGCCATCCCAGGTGGGGTGGACTGGGGTGGACTTGTCCATCCTGCCTGGTTCTTGACCTGTCAGGCTTATCCTGGCTTTGTTCTGTCAGCGTCCTTTCTTTGTGCCCTTGAAGTTTGTGTTCCCCACCTCCTTTCCTGCCACCTGGTCCATCACCAGAGGGATCTCTCTGCTGGACCCCAGTATACTCATGAATGCCCACGGTGGTAGGATTGGCATGAACAGGCAAGGCGTGTGTCACCATCTGGTATTTAGGGGCTGTCTACACCTTAGTTATTGAAACCTGCCTCTCTCAGCATCACAGCTGATTGATTCACACTCTCTCATAGACTGGCCACGGCCTAGACTTGCACAGAGGCTTTCACCCTTTGATTTGCCCAAAATAATTTTATAGGCTAGCAAGGAAACCTGATACACCCAGCCGCTAGTGTCTTGGTTAGGTCCTTCAGATCTTTTCTCCATCATGTAGGCACAAATAGAGGCTTAAGAAGAGAATTGTAGACATTGTTTACACCTATTCATCCTTCCTCTTTACCATGTAGCACCATAGTTAGCCAGACCATGAATAGCCAGACCATGAATAACCCACCATGGGGGTGGGTTAGATCAAATAGCATTGGCTGGGAGACTTGACTTTTAGCCCTGACTCAGTGGGGAGCCTGAGGCTAGGCCATTGGATGCAGGATGTAGCCATGTGACCTTGGGCAAGTCACTGACGACCTTGGGCCTCATTTATCATGCCTGGAAATGACGGTTGGGCAGATGCTTCCCAGGTATGTCCCAGCTCCAGCAGAAGATCCCCCAGTTCATGGTGGCTTTAGACTTTGTGGTCTGCTAATCCCCTGCCTTCTGACCTTTTCTTGGTGGGGAAGATAGACCAGAGTTTGATGGAGGGGTCACAAAAGAGTCATTGGTGGTGCCGAGCAGGGAGCAGCAGTGAATGCCTGTGGTCTCCTGTGGGTGAATCTCAGCCCAGTTTTGGTATGGAAAAGGGGGCTGGTTTACCTGGCCAGGAGAGAGTACCTGACTTGTGTTACCTTCTCTCCTCAATAGGTTATGTTACCTTGCATTCCCAACTAGGAATTGGGGAGAACAGGAAATACAACAGTAGGCTAACAAACATCTGCAGTATGACCTGAATGATGTATAGCAATGGGGGAGAAGGTGGCGGTGGTGGGTAGGATAATGGGAGAAAATGGCGATAAAAAGGACATTTGACATTTGCAATGAGGTGGGGAGCCTGAGTCTCGGCCATTGGATGAAGGATACATGTGACAAATTACAAAGCCATTTGGAATCCCCAAAGCCCATTACAAAACCAGTTGTTCTAGCACAGAGCTGGTTATATACAAATCAGGAATTTTCCTAGCAGAAACAAAGATGTGATTGGTGGCCTTTTAACTGGAAAACTAGTGTTGGGTGTGATTCCCACGTAGGGGATTCAAAAGGATTCTGTTATCTTTTGTGCGTTTGTGGACTTGGGGGAATGCCAATGAATGAGATTCTAGAGCAGAGTTGGGTTTTACCATGGAAGGAACTTCTCATTTATGTTCATGTGGTAGTACTTTGAAAGATTTAGTTTCTGGAATCAAAAGAGTCTATAGTACTACATTGATCATACTTGAAAAACAATTTTTCCACTCCATAAACGCTAGTCTGGGGTGATGAGAGAATGCTCCAGATTTTCAGTGTAGGGTTAGTGGTAGCAGCAGCAGCTGGAAGGGTCCAGAGGTGGGGAACCCAGGAGGAAGGTGTCACGCTATGTGCGTACAGGCAGGCTCTGCAGCCTGTGACAGGGCCATCTATGCATCCTCATAGGAGGGGATTATACAGTTCTAAGCTGGGGACCAAAATCTGGGGCCACACTGATGGATGCATCTTTTAGGGATGCAAATACTGCTGTCTTTCCAAAAATGCAACTTGATGTCAATGTAGCTCTCTGTGTCTTCTGCACTGCAGAGAATAACTGTATTTATGCCACTTTCATTTTTGTTTTGGGGTTCCCCCCTTTCTCATGAACCAAATGTGTTCATGAAATAAAGATGAAATAACAAAGCTGTTACTCCAAATAATTGCTTTCTACCTCTCAGTATAGGATAGTTCTTTTAAAATGATTAATTAATTTATACATACACACATTTATACACACAAAATTATACGTAATCATCATCTGATTATGGTAGAGTGGATCTGATCTTTCTCCAGTCACTACTAACTACAGAGTGTGGGTAAATTATTTCACCCCTGGGCCTTAGCTATGATTTCAACACATAGACCCAATCCTGCATCTTTCAGAGAGGGACTTGGAACCAGAGTTCACTAGAGGCCCCTTCCCGTTCCACAAGCAATGACTGATGTATAGTTTTCACCCCCATTTATTTTCTTCTTTATTTTTTGTCTCTTCCGCTTACCTAGTCATCCAGTAGATTTCCCCCCGCCTTTTTGATTGCTATATTTACTGAACAGGAGTTTTAGTCTTTGTTC